GTCGCCTGTATGAAACTGATCTATACCGTAAAACATTCTCTTGACGAAGAATATCCTATTTTACTCAGGAGCAGAACAGAGATGCAAATTACTTACAATCCAACTAAACCCGTCTCGGATTAAGTTCAGCTTATATTTCCTGACTATCAATAAATCAAAAACAATTGATGATAAATAACGAAGAATAACATGTAGGCCCACCTTAACGAGTATCAGATTCTCAGTGTTGTGGACTATTCTTTCTTAAATCTCATTGTTCGACAGAATGAATGAAGTACCGATTAAGTCCAATCCGCAAAAGATCAGTCGTCCCAATGGGACGGACTCAGACGCACGTATGCTTCTCACCAACAGCTCACTGATGCGTAGAGTCTACTCGATTTTTGTGAGGCTACTATCTCTATCACCGTATTCACACAATTAGATATCTATCCAATTTGTTGAGGCATATAAACACACCTGCTGAAATGTAAGCTAACTAACACCGAGGCATAATCGGGCCCAATGGATAAGTACTATTTCATCTATCACTGACCATAAACAGAGCAACTGACTATAAATCGTACGCTTCTACAAACCTTGTTTTCTATAGCTTATCCATAGGATTCATAATATACTCAGCTTACTATGACAAGCCTGAAATCGGGATTTTAAAAGAAACCTGCTTCAGTGTCCAGCAACCCCGGTGTGAAGAAGATGCACAGAGGGTACTATTCCGGGTGAACGGAAATTTATTCGAGACGTTTTCCTGTGGAACGCAAACGCACAACATTACGATGGGTTTCTGACTACCAAACCAAATCGCTACCGTTGGAAAGAAACCGGTCAGCACATCGCTACCTCTTGAGAGCAACACACCTACCGAGATGAACACACGGAAAGTGACCGCATCTTTGGAGAGAAAAATCCCAAATATGATACTTATTCTGTTTGTCTGCATGCTACTCATTGTTCTAGTTTTATTTTTTATATGTACTCTTAACTGTTCCTAAGGAACCCTCTATACTTCCTACACTAACGCGCATTTCTCTGAACAAGCACGCGAGCAGCACCTGATGTGGCTAAACAGTGCAGTGACCAGATGGATCAAAAGTTTGATCTTTTTGTATTTATCTGGTTTAGCCAAACAATAGCAGTTAGCACGTTCAGATCAGGCTATTGGAGGTGGTTGCAAGTCCCAATCTGGGCATAGCAGATGCTTTGGGTAACCAACTCCACAGTGCTTCCTCTCTCTCTGCTCCCCAATGCAATTTGTAAGTACACCCGGTCTCAAATGATCATTATCACACGCAAAATAGTCATCTCNCCCCCCCCCCCCCCAAAAAAAAAAAAAACAATTTTGATCACCCAAATTAATGTGTATTTTTGTGCATCCGAGGTATATCTGGTCACAAAATGGAAATGTGCTATTTTTCCTCATTCTGCGATGAATCTCTTTATATCACAAAACATTATGATATAAATTACGGAAACGAGTATGTTCGCTACTATGTTTTTCTTACAGAAAGCTCATTTAATTTCCCATATTTGAGAAAAGACTACAGATATATCCTTCATCTTCTATCATGCATCCTCAATCGTCAAACAAGTTGATACATCAACCAATTCCACTTTGAATGCGGGCGGTTCAGGCTTGTCATAGTAAGCTGAGTATATTATGAATCCTATGGATAAGCTATAGAAAACAAGGTTTGTAGAAGCGTACGATTTATAGTCAGTTGCTCTGTTTATGGTCAGTGATAGATGAAATAGTACTTATCCATTGGGCCCGATTATGCCTCGGTGTTAGTTAGCTTACATTTCAGCAGGTGTGTTTATATGCCTCAACAAATTGGATAGGTATCTAATTGTGTGAATACGGTGATAGAGATAGTAGCCTCACAAAAATCGAGTAGACTCTACGCATCAGTGAGCTGTTGGTGAGAAGCATACGTGCGTTGAGTCCGTCCCATTGGGGCGACTGATCTTTTGCGGATTGGACTTAATCGGTACTTCATCGTATTCGTCGAAAAAAAATATTCAGAAAAAAGAATAATTTGCAATATTTTTTTCTGGTTCACTACTTCGAAATTGGACGCTCAGTGGATACTAGGTCGGTTCCACGATGAGTAAGAGACATCCAAGTCTACTCTAATTAAAACAACTAGAAACCACAGAGGCAATTCTCATCCATTTGTCCTCTCTGGAAGCCTTGATCCAGGCACTCAAACTTCTCCAGTCACGTGAGCGGAGTGATGACTCGAATAAAAAAATGATGGGCATGGAACCCCTGTTGTGTTCGAACATGTGTACTGGAAAACAACTGGACTCCTGCCTCGAACCACTTTGACACCAGTAATTGACATCGACCATTTGACCCCAACACGTCATCTTCTTGTTGATACCTCAACCACAGTACTGGCTGATTGTGACAAACTAAAATATTTTCTTTATGATCCAATTGAGTTTCATTATATTTATCCCCCATATTAAAACTATAGACTTTGGCAATGATTTCTATCTAGTCTACTTCGATCTACGTAGTTTCTAATCTGCATGAGTGTCAATTAAACGTGTCTAACCTTAGTTGCCAAGATTAAATAATCTCAACATGAAAAACGCAAACTTCAATAAGTATGAAAATGCAATATTTTCTCATAGGAATGACTCAAGAATTATCCCAAATTATTTTCATAAGCTCTTGGCATCTCGGTTTTTTGTTACGAAGCATCCGATATATAATCCATTATATCAACTTTATTGAATAACCAAATGAAATCCTTTCACAACCCAAAAAAATTGTGTTAAGTAAGATTCCATAATAATAATCTGTTTGATATCTAACTCACTGAATTCAAGAAATACTATTTTAATCAAAGTCAATCTTGAAATCAAAGTCGTTTTTGTGCAGCGCTTTGAACGTTCCTATTGTTGTCACCATAATCAAGCAAGCAGCGCTCGAAACCAAAAGGCCTCGTTATCTAAGTGAAGAGCACAGAAATGGAATTGCACCAGCACACAATCTGGGACTTTCTTTCTTGCCCAATACAATAACGCCAACAGAAGCACAATTTACAAGATAATCTATGGAAAAATAACAATCAGAACAGCTTGTAGAGAGTGTAAACCGAGTACATTCAAACCGGAAGACGACCTGATTCGTATTATTCTGAAAAAAACATTGTCCGAATCTCAGTATGATTGAAAATCTGTTTTCTGTTTTGATGAGAGAGGTCAATGTGCTACATGTATACTTGACATTGGAGGCAAACGTGCGCTACGTAATGAAAATGAAATGAAATGGAGCACAAAATAGAAAATGACTACATAACAAAGTTGGTGGATTCCATGCCGAAGAGATTCGAGAAGTCCTAAAGAACAAAGGCAGACCAATCGACTATTAGTGTACATAAACTTTACATCCTAGTTATTATAAATGAGAATTTGTTTAAATAAAAATTGTTTTGTTCTCGTTATTTAGCTCTTAACTCACTATTGTCCAGGTCAACCACTACTGACGAACTGGGAGTATTCGCTACATTTTGAACCATTCTATTAGCTGAGTATAAACGAATCACGAAAAGCAATGCTATGATGACTCACTAAGGCTTGTTTATTATTATTTGGAAAAAAGATATACTTCAGTATAAATACTGTTGCTTACACGAACCAACAAGTGTTTCACAGGGACCCGTTACATCAGTTTTGATAAGACCTGTATTTGTGGTCATTATCCTTGTGTTCTTGCAGCAAGTTTAAAAGATGGGGCTTTTCTAGAACTTTTCTGATTCCATAAAAACATAAAATGTACTTTCACACCGCCACTTTATTGCTCACATCTTTTCTGAAACATCGAAAACCAATGTGACTGTTTGCTTACACAATCAATGACCAATCTGTGCACTTCTTCATATAGACTGTAAAATAATGTTAAAACAACACGTTCAATATCTAGCATTTACAGCTTCACTACCCCCGATAAGATCCACACAAATTGGCGTCGGCTAAAGAGATTCCTCTAATTACCAGTGGCTAATAATAATAATAATAATAATAATAATAATAATAATACAGTTAAATCGTTTGAGAGTTTCATGTAATTTGAACACCTATTTCTGTAATGGATTTGACGAAAGAAGATAGTAGATTTACTGGGCACAGTTTTATCCGGATATAGCTCGTTGTATGTCATGCCGTGCACAGTACAAATTATATGGTACAAATACTCACAGTAAAATGATAAATTTGTCGATAATAAGTTTTTGATTACTCATGCATTCAAACAAGGCATAGTTACAGTGACGAATAACTCGTTTTGCTTGCACATGTCAAACCCTCACATTTGCGTCCGCAAACTGCAGTAAACGTGAACCGATATTGGATGTGGCCATTGTTCTGGTAAAAAGAAGACGTATGTGACGAGAGGTCAAATCAGCTCACTCGCATCGAAGGTCACGTGACTGGTCGGCCCCGCAATCGACCTTAACAGTATTGACAGGCCTAATGTTTATTGATCTATATTTCACCCACTGACCCCGTAAATCGTTTTGACGCAATTACAGTCAGCCCGATCCAGTTCAGTGACTTGTGTTCTTCCTGACCAGGGGCGTACAGATATACCAACTTATGTGAACCTATTTCCGATAACTTTATAAAATTTCATGACAAATTACATGATATAATCTGTGGTATACATCTGATAAGATACACCAAAATATACCCAACCACAAGTAGGTTAACTTAAATCTAATATACTTTCTCCTCAAATTGTAAAATATTTTAATTTTCACGAAAATTTTCAAGACCTGTTTACATTGTGTAAATAAAACGTATAATGTCCCTGCCTGTATTAGTGATGATTATTTTTGACTCATTCCAACTCTAGTGCTTCTTCGTTTCACATGATCATATAAATGTTCGTTTACAGCGCGTGAAATTGATGGCCAATATCAATTCTGCCCACATACATCTTCTGGTGTTGATGATTACTTTAAGTCGGTTTCTCGGAAGTCTATTTATGAGTTGGTTCTTCTGTCGTGTTTACTTCTTTCTCCGAGCCTTTCTCATGCTGACTGAGTTTTTATTTCCGGCCTCGCAATATGTTGACCATAGTTATATGCACCGGAAATCTGGCAGCCCGGCTACCGATCATATACCGATGCAAGTGAGAATTTGGCGTCGTCTAGCCAATGGAACACGTCAAGAACAATGGCGCCAAGGGTTCTTTCTCCCAGTGTCTATCGTCAACGGTCAACCACTCAAACGCCCAGTGGCTAGAACATTCCGTCAGGTAGGTCATCGTTTTCATTCTGATTGTGCCGGTTCCTCTTCGTGCACATGTGGAGTCCTTTGTATCTGTGAGTCAACAAAAATCATTCTCTTTCATTATCCACCTTGGTGGCTGACTGAATGCGACGAATTTATCCCGTGTTTCTGTCGGAAGCACATTTGTCACCAAAACCCTCAAACAGCATGTAAGACCGGTTGAAGTTAACCGTAAGATGATTAAGTGCCTATTTTAGTTACATCATAATACTAAATGACAGAAAGTATGTGGAAAACATTTGTAAAACTTGCAACCACCGATACAAGGAACGTTCAACTGACAATCACAAATGTCTGTTGGATTACCATGGAAATCATGCGGTATGGTTTTTTTTATCATTTTGTGATTTAAAGTCACATTTGATTCCGGATTAGCACATCTAAGTGCTTCGGCTACACTGGGATTTCATTACTTCAGACATTCCGAACTAATCACATCCAATCTGTCTTTGAAAAAAAACAAAAAAAAAGACTGCAAACTGCAGGGAATCTTTTTAAATCGTGTGCTACAAATATAATACAATCAGTCAAACCTCTTTTTACACGAGCTCCAAAGCAATCGGGTGAGCGATTGAACAAAATAAACTCAGGTATAGTAATGATGCATAAATCTTTTCGTTTGCATTACGGAGAGGGCAACTACTGCCGGATATTAAAACGATAATTATTCTCTCCCTTCGTTGACATTAAGCTTAAAATTATCAACTAATTGGGGTTTTTGTAGATATCTTCACATATCTCTGTCTAGAATTGCACCATAACAATTAAATGGAGTGAATATTTGAAATATACTGAGGAGCAAGTGGTGGCCAAGCCATTACAGTTGCTGCAGTCAGTGTCCTTTAAGTGTTAAGCTACGACGATTAACCTATGTCTAAGTCACTTAGGTTGAGTTTCCATCATCCCGCTCATTGCGACCTCCATCCTTTCGGAGTTTGATATATTCCACCGATTATCGCAAGTGAGTAGCAAACACTTGTGAAACGATTTATAGTATAAAAATTGTGGATGATAAAGTGTGCTCTACGAAACAAAGAGACAATGTATGAGATACAATAATGAAAAGATTGAAAACAATGCTACTACTTGCTTATTTGCTAAGCGAACATGTTTGATCAAAATAGCTCTTGATCAGCTATCTAATATGGTTGTGCCAAATCGTGAATACCAAAAATTAAAGAATTTCTGTAATACAATTATCAGTAAATCGAATTGCATGTCTAACTGAAAGTAGAAAGTTTCCGAGGCATACAGTGATTCAGCCCGGCATTTGAACGACACAGTCCGAATGAGAACTTGGGTCAGGTAAGTAACGTTTCACCTGGTCGAATCATTTCTGTAACCGGTACGAAAACCATCGGACAATCATACTCGCAACCCCGAAGTAAAAACGCAAACCGCCACGGCGCGCATGCGTGCGTGCGTGTGTGTGCGCTCGTGCGTGTGTGCGTGTGGCTGTGGCTGCGGGCTGTGGACGGCTGAAATTTATCAGATGTACCTGTCAGAAGAGCAAAAATCAACTTCAGTCCACTCGTTCCAGCAGGTGGTAAGCACCGCGGATGATGAACAAGGGTCCCTCATTTGAAGTACCGGCAACAGTAAAAGGAGTTATAATACACGCGAAAAAGATGGTGACATTCAGATAGACTGTAAGTGTGCTCTCTATTCCAGGGCAGTATTTATATCGTATAATTGGGAGAGGGAGCAAGGAGTTAGACAGTTGAACCACACGGCGAGATTCTGAGATGTGCCATGTTGCGTCCCTGTGTGCTTGGCATTGCCAGACCCCGGAATAGGATAATCAGATAAAATTGCTTCCTCTCTTTCGGACGGACACCAGGGCATTCGCCACGAATAATCGACGGTTCGTCAAGAATTCTGATCGAGTTTCTCAATTCCGCTACCACTTAATTATATCAGCACCACAGGGGAACGCTTTCGAAAACTAAAATAAATCGATTCAAAAAGACACTCGTTCATATGTTTACTGTCATCAGATATGGATTAGACTTTTGTAGTTTGTTTCTTCTAATGAACATACACATCTGGTTTGTGCCGTGTCGCGTGGATGCAAAAGAAACAATCAATTGTTGCTGGTCCAACAATTTGGGTAGCAACCTATTGTGCAACTTGCGGAGTTCTCTATTTGGTGGGTTAAGAAAATTTGTTGCTGGCGGTACTCGTAACTAACCTTCAAACCGCTCTGTGTTGCTCTTTTAGTGTTGATATTTAACTCCATTTTGTTTTGTGCTTTCGACAACTTTCCTTGTGAAAATGAAAGTAAAAATTATTCTAGGTCGTTTACGTACTTGATAGAATTGTCTACAAAATAAACTATTGCTTCCCTCTTTATAGGTTCTTAGAAAATTCAAAAGGCTCTTTCACCCCACGGTGTGATACCTAGAGCTTTTGGATGAGTACGGCAATAAAACTGCTTCAGCACAGCACAATCTTTCGAAATCTTTTAGTGCTCGGCAACCATCGATGCTCCACTATCATCTGACTATACACTAACTGATAACTTACTCCCAGCCTGACTAAGATTGAATCATTTATTCAAACGGTTGTTCGGTAGATTGAAGTCTTATGCTGAAATTGTGAAATGTTCAGTAGTCTCTGCGAAAACAGCCATTTGAGCAATTAACCTTGCCTTAGATATTTATTCGATGAACTCCGGTGAATCCTAAAGAGAACGTGTCCCTGGGCTCGTCTTACATGCTATCTGGTGGATGCCGTATGCCTCTGTAGATTGTATGGATAATTCTAATGTGAAAAGATCATTGCCATGGGTGTGGCCTCATAGCTCAGCTGGTAGAGCGTGAGCTGTACAGAAAACGTAGGCGGAGTCCATGCGTGGATTCGAAAACAGTTTATTTCGGAAAAAGGCCCTGTTATTTCTTTTTGGAAAAAAGACCAACATTAGGTGTGGACTAAATCAAACAGATTTCAATCCGATATCAACGGTGACTCCATTGCTGTAAATGCCTGAATGGCTACATTCACTGAAACAAGACAATAGCTCCAAGTCATCTAGAACGGTTAAATTTACATAGAGAATAAACTCCCATCTAGGTACTCATAGATTTGCCATTACAAACAGAACCAGAGGACAGACCAAGTGAAAATGGCAACGATTTACTCTGAATGCTTGTGGCTCTTGGTCACACCTGAATGAAGAACCCCCCACGCACGGACTCAACTTCACTGTCTCCTCCTCCGCTGTGCAGGAAACCTCCGCAAATGGGGCTAAACCAGGTGCTAGACCCACGCTGGATCGGGTTCACTAGACGCATTTAGTTCGATAACCGCAACTGGAACTGTCCACATCGTGAAACTCGATTTGTCATACAGTAGTGTCGCGGTGATTTAGTCACTGTCACCGGTGTGCTTTGGACCCTATAGTTAATACCATTAGTACCACCCAATTTTGATGGTAGACAGCTTTGTTGTTGTTCAGTTCAATACCAAGCCTAACCGCAAGAAAATAAGTTCACATCGTTATATAATTGATTGGTAGACCACGGATACTTAGAAGCAGTCACATTATCGAGTAACTTAGTCCGTCCTAATTAAACGAAAATTCTCTGATATATTTCCCCTATAAATCGATTCAAAGGTTTTCTTTGAGGGTCTAAACAACCCGTTTCTTATTGTTTTTGTATTGGTATTGCAAATATTGATGCGTATCAAAAATATATTTACACATGAAAGCTAGATGCTCTCAGGAAATGATGGGGGTTGAACATCTTTATGCGCTCAGAAGCGAAACGTCTTCTTGCTTTCCGATCGAACCTGATTGCTGCGCTCAGACTCTCAACTTGGTCTGTATGAAGATGGTTGTAACCGTATAAAAGTGGCGCTTTCTCCACCATGCCTCGGCAGAGTGAGTGAATATCGTCGGGACCGGTCAACTTGACTCGTCCTGGGGAGATTGTGTGCGGTCATGAGGGCCGTTCCAAAAAGAGCACAAGCATGGCAGTAAAACCTAAACACACCAGTCTACTCTCTGTGTCATTCCTACGAGATTACCTATACCTATATCTACGGTCACTTGCTGGGTTTAAATTACTTGTACGTGCGTTATTTTCATCTCANCATCTCACGAAGAAGAAATACGTGGTAAGGAAATGGAGCATATGAAACTGTGTGGTTTTCGGTGCATCTATCTGTACGGTGATCCGCATGCATTAGAATAGGGATATACATATATATATATATATATATATATATATATCTTCCCACAAGTTTCAATCCACTTCCCTTGCGGTTCTTGCTAGCAACATTCCTGTTACCGGTACATTGTTTCAACGTATGAGAGAAACTATTTGCACGCAGAAACGTTTACATGATCGAGATCACCGAGACCTCAAGTTTGAAATTCACTTTGACTTAAATTATCCTGTTCCTAAACAGTTTTGATGAGCGTCTCATTATTCAAAGTCACGTATGCTGACAGTCTACCAAAATCCAAGCCTCTTGGAGAGAAGCCTGGACTCTGTGCAACGTAACGACATGTAATTTATCTCCAAAGATACTGACTGCTTTGCTCAGTAGCTGTCTCATAACTAACCATCAACTACTAAGGTGTATAAGTTGTAATGATTACAATAAGTACTCTAGTTAAAGTCGTGTCGTAGCCGCTGCCTTATACCTTACCAAGTTCACCAATCAACCCACTGAGCATACACCAACCTCAGGAATACCTATCAATGTTGCTCATTTCAATAAACTCCCCTAAGGCAGTCGACTGGTTCATAATGTTTATATATATATATATATATTGCTGCTGCTGCAGATGATCCTAAGAGACACCTTTATCACAGAACTACCAATATGCGCGAATACTTTCCAATCGCCGTGCTTACAGTTGACGGTTCTGGAGGGTTGTTAAAATAGTCAGAACCAAAGTAGTGTCCGCGAGAAAAGAAAAGCTTCTCCCAGTGGGTACGCTGCAAGAATTGTCAGTGAATATTGATTGGCAAACTCTGTTAATGGTTACGCCAACCCAAAAATTCTAACCATGTGTAATCTGTGTTACAAATAGCTATGGTGTTTGATTAGAGAAAAGACAGCTACATAAAAGTGTTTGATTTGAATGAGTAGAATGTTGTAATGGATCACGAGATCCTGTCCGTAGTATTGGGTAGTGCCAGTTGAAATTGCACAAAGAAAATGAGCCACATCTAAACTGAACAATAAAGTTTCCGTTTGCACCCAAGTGCGTGTCATATAGATAGATACGCGTGTACTTTGAAATTTTGGTTATTTAAGGGTACGTTCAAACAGACAAGAACAAATCTTATTGAACCTGTTTTAAAAACAAACAATATCCAGTGTGAACATGTTTGAAAATTCTGATATCCAGTGCATCCAAATCTATGCAGAATGTAAGACAAAATCATCGAGTTTTCCTCTTGACCACAAACATATTTCGTTCTTGGATCACAAAATTGTAAAAGGGATTTTTTCAATAATACTATAACAACAATTGACAGGTGCCAATGTCATTTCTTCCATACAAGCACATTTGCACACATACACAGACATATATATGCACTTTGAAGAAAAAATTACAAACATCGAAACGAGCATATTTGTACATGGATTGGGAGGGCGAGAGGAACTCCATCTGGACAGGACAGAGAAGTGTCAGTTTTGATGCTACATTGTGCCTCTATTTTTCGATACTAGTTTCGAGTAGTTTGAGTTAAGATGGATGAAAACGCTATAAAAGATGAGTAATTGGTAATTGCTTTTGGTATCAAAAACGCTTGTGATATAACCAGTGACCGATCACCATCCTTCCGACTCCATCGTTACGCACAATTCGACGTTCATCCACTCAATATAACCAGTGTGATTGAATAAAATGTTTCAGCTAAGAACCAATGAAACTGTAAACCGGGAGTACAAAAATCCCTAGATATCGTTGTGTAAATCCTGTTGGTTGTGTGCCCATTGTCCCAGCTGGGGAGCAAATCCTCACAGATCAAACCGGTAGCTGCACATCGCGCAGCAAATATGAATCAGGGGGGACACCATTTTCCTGCAAACAGGAGACTAAGTTCTTGGTTCGTGATGTTCTTATGGCATGTGTCTATTCCGCAATTTGCAATTCAGTAGGAAAATAGAATATCTGCCACTCTATCGTAGTTTGGACAAACGAGTTGGAGAATGACTCACTGGAAGAATGTTGAAAGAACAATTCATGAATCTCATTAGGTGATTTCAAGGATAAATTTCATTCTGTTCCTCTAACTCACCCCCAAAACCATCTCAATCTATGCTCAGATGACGATTAAACAGTGTGGCCCTGTGGTGACATCACCGAATTATCAACCCGGAGATGTGTTCGAGTCCCACCACCACCGCCTGACTTTCCCACCCAATTTTTTTTGAATGGCAGCCCCCTGGGGTTGGCCGCTTCCCTCTTCCTGAAAATTGTATCTTTGTATTTCAAAGATGAATTCGTCATGCTTAGAGCAAATAAAGCGTGAACTGAAAAGCTAGAAAGCACTGGATAGCTGTTTTCGACCTGGTTGGGTCTCATCAGCAGTGCGAATCCATGGATCCCACTGGGGATCGAACCGGGGACCGCATGAGCAGAATTAGCAAATGCAGTGCTTAGCCATCTACACAGGCAGGACAGGAAGGCAGTTACGTCACCGAATGACCGAAAACATCCCGGTGTGGCTTGAGAAAGCGATGGACGACAAGTTCAAAACTGTTACATCATCGAATGAGCGGAAAATACTTAGATCTTCCATAACACAACACTTATTCGAACGAAAGCATTGTGCGACTCCTAATCACTCATTTCAGGTCACCTACAACACAACAAACACAAAGTTACTGAAATTTTCCGAGGCTCTAGCCATTCGTACCCTCAAACCCGATCCATGATATGTTTTTGTCCTTCTCAATCTGAATCATTCATCTCCATATACAAATATCAATCGAACTCGTGTAAATTGACTCTGATTTTGGAAATACATTACAGTTTACAGTTTCATAAGCGTATATCGATAGTTATAGATGAACTTGAACTTCCACTGCTATATGCTTCCCTTGTATCACCGTTTGGATTGGCGTGACCTTCATTGACGCGATAAAATTTGTGGTAGTTCAAACGGTACATGTCAGATTTGGATAATATGTTATACTAAGCAGCCTAGAAATTCATTCTTTCCAATAAATAATTCTGGCTAAATGAAAGTGTTTATTAGCTAGAACAAATGTATTCTAAATAGCTTATCTCTTTCATTCAGCGCACAGTAAATACGCAAATTATCGAACATTTTCTAGCTTAAATAAATTGATAAATTATTTGACTATGAACTACTTACACATATTATCCCTAACCCTGAAATAATTAAAATTATGCTCTAGGAAATATAAAAGCTGACCTCCAAAAGTTGACCTTGGAGTGTGCGGCTTGTTGAATAAGTGCTTCACGGTGTTACCATACCCAAACCGGATTAAACATCGAAGAGGTTTTGGTATAGACTTAAGGACGAGGGGCAACTTTTTCGACCGGCGTAGAAATAAAACGAATGAGTTCCTAACTTGTGCAAGTGATTTGATGTGAACCTAAGCCCGATTTATTGCATAACCAACGGAATTTCTCCGTCAAAACAAAAACTTAGAGGGAGAAAACCGATCACATTGAAGCAGGACGATGGTTACATTCAATCGCAGCTGAGAGATGTTGCACACAACTAATATGGAGGATAGATGGCCCGGGCGGGTAAGTCACAAATTTCTCACGCCAGAGTTTAAAAATGTTGACTCAATTTGAACCGCAGCTGACGTCACCTGATATGAAGCTGCTGCTCAACGGCCAAAAGGGGAACACATTTAGACCTCATTAAACATTGGTTTTTCAAAGTTATGCAGTTTCTGCATGGATCCAGTCCGATATCAAAATAGTTCAGTTCCCGCCCGGCAGTTGCAATTTGAATGCAATAAAATCATTTCCGTATTTGAAACATGGATATTTTAGCTACCTCGGCAATGGTCGTCAGTCGCCAGGGTGCGGCATGTATAAGAGAAAACTGGCAAACGCTGTTTGACAGTTGGTTTAGGAGACTCCATAAAAATCTGCTGTACCTATTGCTCAAAAATAAAGAATGATGTATTGGACTTCGATTAACTGAAATTAAAATATATGTGCCGTGTTTGTGATTCATTTTTATAAATAATTTCTGTTGATCATTTTTACTGAGGCTTCGTTATTTTTTACAACTGATGCACTAGGAACCCTCGTCGAAATAGGATAATCTTACATGATAATAGCATCTGACTAATAAAAGCAAAAATCATAGGTGGACATTAGCAGAGATATATTGCATCAGATGTGGGACAAAAAGATATTCAATCTCCTTCAAGGAGGTTAGAAACAGTGAGCGTCGTTAGGAACAAATGTGATAAAATTCAGGGTGTTGCACCTTTTCTGTGATTTAATTATTCTATTCTTCTCCTTCCGAAATATGCGTACAGGTCAATGTATCCCATATCGGTGGTAGTCTATCCATATTACCCCGAGACAGTATCAGTGTGCCGCATGATGCAAGTCCCGGACTGGAATACCTCGATGTGAATATGACTCGAATGCAGGGCCCGTTACAAGCCCAGGTTGTCAATTTGCGCGATCCAACTCGACCGGTAACCAGCTTCCGGTTGGCCGATTTACGCAATGGACTGGTTGCGTTACAGTTGTTGAATTATGCTGAATCGCTGGTCAAGGTGAGATTGTAGATTATGTATACATGCATGCGCGTGTATTTGAGCTAATCAACCCAAATGCATCACAACCACTGAGTGTACAGGGGGGTTGCAAACCAAGTATTCACTGTTTTAGAGCAATCTACCACTCCAGTATATTTGGTGTGAGAAATAAATTATAAGACTGTTGTACTTTATAATGTCATTAGTGGTCTTAACATCAAAATTGAATAGTTAATACGCAATTATGTAGTCAATTTTCAGTTAGATGGATATAAACAGACCGCAAATTATAGAAAACAGTTAATTGTTAACTACCATATATATTCCTTTATGACTAACTATCAGCAATGATTTATTGGTATGCCGTGTCACTTCAGTTGATGGCATACATAATTAATGTCCACTACCGTAGCTATAGAAGTTATTGAACACCAATTGACGGCACCGCCGGACGCACCATGACAACGGTTGGTGTCCCTTCAAACGTAATTAAAGCAATGAGTAATTTATTTCAATCACAAAGTTGCCTTTTCTCCAATCACCTTGACGACTACTATTGATTTGATGATGATGATGATGATGATGTGTGCTTGACGCCAATTTGACACCTGAGCTTTTATGATCGGTTTGTTCTACAGATGTACAGATGTACAGATGTTAGCTTTGGGGTTTAGGGGAACTTGGCCCCCACGACATCTAAACCGATGTAAGTATACAATAAATAAAATTGCGACTGGGTTCTAATCACAGGAAAATTAAAGGCCCCCAATCGGCTCTATCACCGAATCTTTTGGGAAAATTGGTAACCAGGATAATTATAGGAACTAGTCACTGAATTTAGCGGGGTTCCTGTGTTGAATTCTTTATCGACCCACAAAATTCAGTTTGACGATGTTTGGTATCACTTGCATAGCACATATATAGCACATTTTATCGTTGACTTGAAACCTTGAAAACGGAGAACAATAACAAACTTGATTCCTCGAATGTTTATGCAGTTAGAGGAAGTCTTTCGCTACTATGGCATCCTAAATAGTATATTCATGGTGACGATCGTCCGCTATTGCATTAGAAAAAGGTACTTCATTTGGAGATCGATTGATACATACGCCGTAAAACTGCTGTCTGGAGAAATTTGTGAATCCCGTCTTAACGTATCATAAGTAAAAAGCGAATCAACGTAGAATATAAACCAGAAAGCTGCGTGTATGGTTCGATCTTTCACTTACAGATGTAAAATCGGAAATTTAATATTCCGCAAAGTGGCTTAAATTGTGAACGAAGTCCATTTGCTTTCCATGCATTCTAATCAAAGTTCATCTTTTGGCCGCTAATCACGAATGTATGATAATCAGCCCATCCTAATTCATTCGATGGTACCGTTCAGGGTCACAAAGGAGAAGTCTCGATAAATGAATGATCATGGAAGTGAATTTGCACATCACGAAATGAGATTAAATGACTGAGAAGCTCAAGAAACACCGGTCGCCTTTGACGAGCACAGTCAGATTCCTGCTTCTACATCAGTCGGTTGAGGATGACGAAAACAAACAAATCTACCCACCTGATATCCTACCGTTTCGATTTGTTTCAATGCACGACAACTTTAGTATGATAGTGAAGGATATCATGACCTTTGAATCGAATGAAAATGACTTTAACTTTTTAAGAGCAAATACTATGACAAAGATTGATTTTATTATAATTGATTGCATCAGCTCAACTGGCACTGGGGTCTTGGTTGGAATCTCTAAATTCCACTTCTGATCCCCGACTGTGTTTAATCATTTGACAATTTCAATAAGTGCACTGCCGTCCTGTCTCTCATTGCAACCAGGTGTTTATTATCACATTGACTGTGGTCGATCCGTTCTTTCAAGTCAGTGAACCGATCAATTTGAGGATTGCCACCTTCCTTCAACCGGTGATTCCAATCAGTTGGACAGGGGCAAATATGGCACGTACGCCCACATTTCAAGTGTTCAGTCTGCCCCTGTTCACGTACACAGGGGCAATAAGCCTGGTCCAAAAGCACAACATTCAAGTGAGTTTGGAATGTATTTATTTGTAGAGCTGCTTCTCTTCATTTATCTCAATATGAGCATTCTTCATTGTTAGCGACATGCTGAGAAGATTTCGCTATTACAGTGGAGGAGAAAGATCAGTGAAGAGATGTACTAGGGCAATGCACGTGAACAGAGATACGAAAGAATATTTCACAAATGCATGTGACACTGACCAACAATAATCCTCATCCAGACAATTGGAAGCCATGAATGTTTTGAACGAATAGTAAATCCTACTCTCTGTTGAAATTGCATTTAATTCAAGTCTGGCATCGGAAAACCCCATTTAAATCAATCCAGCTATCTATGAATACCAAACGCACAACTCGACGCAAACATGCTCCGTGCTTTTACGGTTTGACACAGAATGGTTCGATTACAAAAATATCTTAAAGAATCGCATGAAATTAGAGAACGCTCTATATCAGCGTTTTTCCTCGGTCTGCGATAATCAAAGAATCCATGGCTACAACGTGACTGCAAAATGCTGGAGCGTTCACAAAGGATGGCCAAAAAATGGTCAAGGGGTTGAATCGCTATTCATATGAAGAGAGATTGAAGTCGCTGGAGTTATATTCTAATCACTACCTGCGCATCAGAGGAGCCATGATTACGGTATGCCAAATAACGCAAAACTCAAGCCATAAGTGTAGCCTGCTATTAAAATTATTACCCAACGTTCATCTTAGAGAACATCCATTCAAACTATTGGTTTCAAAACGCAGATTGGAATGTCAGTGTCGGTCATTCGCCGTCAGAGTGTGTTCGATCTGGAACTCTCTAACACCCCACGTCGTCTGTGCATCAAGCATTGAATCTTTCAAACTGAGACTTGATG